GAAGACCATGCTTGAACTGAAATTTTCGAGGAGTTTTCAACTTTGGATTTTTTGTGGGCGCCAAGACCGAGATTTCGGCTGATTTGCCAGGAGGGCTTCTTTTGTCGATGAGTCAACGGCACTCCCCAGCGCCCTGGACGGCACAAAAGAAGCTAGGCTAAGCTACTATACAGCAATCACGCTCTGTCAAGACTTTTCTGACATTTCACCACGACCTTCGGGAAGGAGTTGGAAGGAGGCTAGAAAGGCAGAGCGTGAATTCTCCGAGGTACCCACAAGTCTGCAGCGCTCAGCTAGTCGGTCTCTTCGAACGCTTCAGAAGGAACACTATGTCTTCGGATCTAATCCTAATTTTGGTATTAGGAGAGCTCCGTACCCAATGGTTTTTGCGATTTTTCCCAGCTGCCATACACCCGCAAATGGCCATGGCTTAGTTGGCTAGAGAGGGGAGGTAATGAAGGGCAAAGGGCTCCTCTAAGTGTATGATCAAATGAGGACTTGTGAGGGGTGGTACTGTTTGAGGGGAGCTGTACGGGAGGCATAGGAGGGGATATACTACTGGAATAGGTATCCTTGGCCTATAGGCAGAGAGGACCTGCATGTCCTACATAGTCATAAACTCAGACAGGACAATAAAATGAATTAATCACGTAATCAGAACATAATGTTTCTACCTAAGCGAGGTAGAACATAGATAGACAATTAGATGTAGATTAAAACTCTAACACTTTGGAAAAAACATAAAATATAAGTTCAGTAAAACCAAAAGCCTCTATGATCCTTAAATCCCCAATATATTACGTTTCGTACAGTATTGACTTGACGGTCAACGCTCGTTGTAAAAATCTGAGTTCATAACTGCACACACCTTCAGGGGATAACTGTGCACCAGCTAAGTTAACCCCTTAGAGTCTGATCACTATTGCCTCCTGGTCGCTACACACTAACATCAACGTGCTCACTACAATGAGGACACCATTGTAGTTACTCTTGCTATTATAGACAATAAAATACAGAGGAATATGGGTAGGAACTTGTTACGGTTTGACCGTGGTTTAGCTTAGGTGAAGACCTAAGCAGAGTTTGGGGGCGTATTAGGGAGAGTGTTTCGTATTATCTTGTATCAAGCGACTAAGTTTCACGTGGCCACATTACATTGGAGCTAGGAAGGAATGTGAGACGGCGAAGTAGAATTGCCAAGTGAGAGAGTCAGCTAAATGGCAAAGATGACGACGGGCAGTGGCGGAACAATATGATTCTCACCAACGGAGTACGTACTGGATGAGCTAGAAGGATGTATAAATAGTCATTACCCATAGTTGTGGTACTTCTCTCTTCATATAGTTTAATCTTTCTAAAAGTACACTACAGCCAGCTTGGTTTCGTCACAGAACTCCTGTATATAGATAGGGCCTTTTTACTCTCAGTATCTACATCCTACATCCACAAATACAATTCACCATCAATCATCTTAATCTGTCCAAGTGATCTATTGAATTCTCCCATACCTATCAGTATTCTATTCACAAGGTGACGTCTCCCTATCCATCGCCCTCAGGCTTTCAATAACGTTCACTTCTGTCATTCCAGATATCCCCATAGAACTTTTATAGTAGCTTCATGATAATGGTGATAGGGGGATGTGTCGAGAGATGAAGACGATACAGATCGCGAAGGCGACTATGAATCCTTATCGAAGTGAAGACGGTGTTACTAAATCTCCGCTCTGCAGACTTTATAATGAGAGCTAGAGGCTCGTTGGGGACACCACTGACAGGTGTTGAGTATAGTCCCTCTTGATTGTTATTTCAACATTCAAGTCACAAGCCCTGTGTTTAATTTGACAAGACATGCGCAGTTGATACCAAAATACTTCTTACTATCAAAGTGAACAATTTGAATGAACCGGGAAAAAATGTGAAATATATAATTTCTGGGTCCAGTGCCCTGCACCTCGCTTGGATCCACTGATGGTATCCATCTAGAATTAAATTTCTACGATAACTCCGGTACTTGCGCCAACCGTTGCCGTAATAACCATTGCCGTTTTCTTACATATTCATATTCCGGGGTAAACTTAATGCGTTCTTTACCTCAAATTTCCCTAGCAAAAGCCGAGACCTTGGTCTTGGTGCCTAAAAACGGTCCAAAGTTGAGAGCCTGTAGAAAATTTAAATCCCAGTTTGCCCATTAGTTACATTCTCCCTCTCCCCCTCAAAGTCCCAGTCACAAGTCCCTCAACTCAAGTCGTATATCCTCATCATAGCAATATCTCGCTATAACCAGCACGAAAAAGCAACTCTAACCCGCTAGTGCAGTGAAGAGAATTCCGTCAATCATTTTTTTCTGTTGCCACTACGGGCAATACCACACTCAGCTCCACAGGTCAAAGAATTCTAATCCCAGTGTATCTAAGGCTATTGCTTTAGCGGAGGAATTTCGTGTATTCAATAGCTGGATACGTGTGAAAAAATTATTCGAAAGGGCACAGCTACAAGTCTCATTCGAACGGAATAACGAATTGATGTAACCAATTTATTCATTTCATTTTTGTTACAAACATTTTTCTTCATTCAGAACCGTCAAAAAATCATGAGACTCGTTTGACAGACGACATCCATGTGCACTGTAATTTTTGAGCACATAATAATAAGAACCTGGCTTTCATTCGTTTTATTGGGTCTGTGTAGGCGTCAACAAGTTGAGTAGTTTTATTTAGACTAGGCTAACCGGTACGTGAGGAGCTCAGATACTGTGCAAGGGGACGTCGTAAAAAATTATAAAAAAAATTGACAGCCCGCTACAAGCCAGACCCCAAATTCTGTGTATTTTGACTTATTTCCTCCCTGTGGGCGTACGTAGCTTCATAATTTTGTAGTCGGTGACAATCGGTCATTGATGAGGCACGCTCTTTTCTCAGTTGAAATAACACCTTAATTGGTCGTCAAGACGAGGTTGAGTTTAATAAGATTGAGTAAGGGTATTCGGGTAAGAATGACAAGACCAGTATTTGAATTTGGTATCTTTAACGTGGCAGGATGAACCAAATATCTTCTTAAATGTGATACGGACAGACCAGTGTTGATGAGAAGTTGACGATATTGATATGCTTGTTTTTACCTCCAAATTTGATTAAGATACGGCACTTTTTGGCAATCCTAGATTTACAGAGCATAGTGAGCGATTACATCGGCACAGCTAGAGGGTGAAATTCGTCTTGGCTAGCTACCGCTAGATTTCCCTCCATTTGAATTAGACCTTGATAGATATATGCACAGGCACATACTGCAACAGATGAGGCTTCACAAAATGATAATGAATTGTATGTATTAATTTTATAAAAGGCGAAAGCCCTACACCCAATAGGCATGATACGGGTGTGTGATCCGTGAAGACTCACTACTACCTATCTGACCAGCTTTCTTGCCGGAGTAAGTTCATGAAGGAAACATAAGGTCTTGGCGTGTTCTTAGTGGGCAATAGCAAGAGGAGAGTTGCTTCGAAAGACAAAAGATAGGTCCTTTACGGCAATGATGAACAGCACAGATGATATGGAGAGAATTACAAAATGGATCCTAGCAAAAGGCTGGTTTGAATAATTCCGGCTTGCAGCAGGAGTAGAAATTGCATTGGACGAAAAGATGGGACGGTGCGAACAAGGATAGGACGGAATACATACTGTATGAACTGTGTAAACGCACTTCCTGTAAGAAACCTCGTCAAATCAATAGGCACGAGACAGACAGTTTTGGGTGATTTTTTACCCAACTTGGTATGCTCCTTTGCAAATATCGTAACAAGATATACCTGAACGGGCTAAATGGAATGAAATCAAAATACATGAAAGAATCATAAAGAAAATTGCCTGGACAAAAAGCGCCCTGCGCGTTGCCCACCACAAAATGATAATATTTTCTATACAAATAAATTTAGAATAACTGTATCATATCCAGTGTGGCTTAAACGAAATTTGGAGGGCAAGAGTGAACTCCTGTTTACGATATCCTGTATGGAGCTGGGAGTGTTAGATTTCCCAGAGCCAAGTTCAGTCAAATTTCAAAATTTCACAAACAGTGGGCCCATGAGGCAATGATTCAAAATACTCCACCACGTCTGTTGTGACCTATCGTTGACATCGGTTCTCACCCTAGACCTCATCAAGTCTGAGGGCACAACATAGTAAATTCTCATTTAGACGATAACACCTCTTATCGATTATTCTCTGGCCACAGCTGACCACTAAATTTACGCTCGCGAAAATACGAATATCCGCAGGGTGAGAAAAATTGCGGCGCTCAAGTTTGTGAGATATTTCTTCGAGATGGGCGTGAGGGAAATCGGGAAAAGCTTACGAAATGACGCAAACGAAGAATATAATCTCTAAGGGTGTGAGATTTCGAATTTTGGCAAGGAGGTTTACGTGTAGAGAGGTACTGTGCGTGCTGACCCTTAGATTGCGAGAGTGCAGCTGACACTATAAACACAAGTCAACGATGGAAGGTGCCGAGGACCGCCTCTTGGTGGTGTTCTCTGGTAAAGTTCGCGTAGCCTGGGCACCTACTCCACTTAGGAAGGAGACGGGTTAGATTAAATTTCGCGCGGTAGAATTTAGTGAATTGAGGCATGTCTGGATAACTCGGCGGTTATGAGACGTTTCCCTGGGTGGGTATTCACGGGTGAGGGTTGAATTAGGGTGAAGAATAAGTCGTCATAACTTCGCAGTAGTACTTGCGAATGAAATCCGAGGCATAAGTGCTTTACATATAAGTTGAGTTATTTGTTTTGTATTTTTCTCAGATGTTATATCATAGCTAGATAGCTGCGTACGGAGTAGTGATCTGATACATAATAAAAGTTCACGAAATTCCTAAGGAAAATTGTAGTTTAGTAAATTACACGGTGGCTGGACGCTGCAACTGGGCTTCGCGACATAAGTCGTCAAATTTATCAATTCCTTTCCTGGTCCGTGTCGACGCGCCCTCAAATTGTTCACATAGATCCTGAGTCTTCCTTGTCAAATTTTATTACCCAACTTCACACAGCTCCATCACTACGCTTGTAGACTTATTCAATCGGATAATACTCTCGTATCAACAACAATGGCACAGCCATCAAAATCAGTTCAAGTGAGCGAAGTCAAAGGCAATACACGCGATAGTCGCACGGCCGTGCATACACACATCAAAGGCCTTGGCCTCCGATCTGATGGTAGCGCTGAGAAACAGGCCAGCGGGTTTGTAGGTCAGACCTCAGCGCGTGAGGTAAGCTCTAATTTGAAGTTTTCTGAGTGTCATTTGCCTGACAAAAAGCTTTAGGCATGTGGTGTTGTTGTAGATCTTATCCGCGCGCAAAAAATGGCTGGAAGGGCTATTCTGCTAGCTGGCAGTCCCGGTACTGGAAAAACAGCACTTGCTCTCGCCATAAGCCAGGAACTTGGGACGAAAGTACCTTTCTGTCCTATTACAGGAAGTGAGGTTTACTCAACCGAGGTAAAGAAAACGGAGGCACTTATGGAGAATTTCCGTAGAGCTATTGGCCTAAAAGTTCGCGAGACGAAGGAAGTTTATGAGGGCGAGGTCACCGAGCTAACTCCTGAAGAAGCTGAGAACCCTCTTGGTAGTTATGGGAAGACTATCAGTACCTTACTTATTGGGCTCAAAAGCGCAAAGGGCCAGAAAAAACTTCGCCTCGACCCTAGCATATACGAGGCTATACAAAAAGAGAGAGTAACAGTTGGAGATGTTATCTACATTGAGGCCAACACTGGAGCATGTAAGCGTGTGGGAAGATCCGATGCTTACGCTACCGAATTCGATCTGGAGGCCGAAGAATATGTACCAATTCCAAAAGGTGAAGTTCACAAGAAGAAAGAAATAGTGCAAAATATAACTCTCCACGATCTTGATGTAGCAAACGCTAGGCCCCAGGGTGGGCAAGATATTATGAGTATGATGGGACAACTGATGAAGCCAAAAATGACCGAGATTACGGAGAAGCTTCGATCCGAAATTAACAAGGTTGTCAACAAATATATTGACCAAGGAGTTGCCGAGCTCGTTCCCGGCGTGCTCTTTATAGATGAGGTATGTAGTAAATGCCTAGAAGCTAGTACCATACTAATAAGAGAGTAATAGTGCCACATGCTTGACATTGAATGTTTTACCTACCTCAATAGAGCTCTTGAGTCGAGTATTTCTCCGATTGTTATACTGGCATCTAATCGTGGAATGTGTACTATTCGAGGTACTGAGGATTTGGTTTCGGCACACGGCGTTCCACCTGATCTTTTGGCTCGTTTACTCATCATTCCAACTTGCGCATATCAGCCTGATGAAATCAAAAGGATCATTCGGACACGGGTCAGCACAGAACAGCTCGGCATCACAGAAGCTGCTCTAGACAAAGTTTCCGAACAGGGCTGCCAAGTCAGTCTCAGGTATGCTTTGCAGCTCCTAACACCTGCAAGCATCGTAGCTCGGGTTAACGGCCGAAAGCAAATTGATGTCATGGATATTGACGAGTGCCAAGATTTGTTTATTGACGCCAAAAGAAGTGCAGCTATCGTAAACAGTGAGATTAGCCACAGCTTCATCTCATAGAGCAGACATACTTCAAGTATAATACCGCTTCTTGTACAAATGTATAAGCTTCCAAATTTTTGGATAAATCTAGGTACCACAGGAGTATCCTTTACAAAGTTTCTCGCTGGTTTACTAAAATTTAGAATAAGGATAAAATTTTCATCCTTAATCAAGGCGGTACCGGACGCTCATTTAGACACAAGGGAATTTCGAATATCTCGAGATATGGCTCCGTGGCCATCAACATTGCTACATGAAAAAATCGTGGGCTTTTAACCCGCGCAGACACAACTAACACCGGGAATAAATGCAAAAGTTTAAGATGTCTTAAAACGAAATAGCACTAGGCAGAAAATGCGTTTGCAAATGTGGATCTTGTCAACAAAGTTGTACCTTAAGTTATGGACTAGGCTCTATAAGAGATTACATTGGATGTCCGTAACTTAATTAATTATATTACTATACACCCTTAGATATGAGCGCATGTGAGCTACTCAACTTCTAAAGTATTCTAACGCAAATCGATCTTTCTACCAGGCTCTGAATATATTAAAATTGATCAATATGGTGCACCGTCACGGAAACATTATGACTGACATGGTACCAAAGGCTACCAGAATCACGAAATTACACAGAACAAATCTACCACCTTCTATTCAATCAGATTTGCGATTTAAAACACATGCCTTAGAGGCCAGAGTCACTCGACATAACAATGTTTGGTTTCGGATAATAAGGATCCTCTTATTTGCTAAAAACTCTATGTGTTCTGTTTTTACCCACCCTTATCTGCGCAATAGTATTAGCGCCTTCTTCCTTAGGGGTTTCCTGACATTTCCATCACATTGTAATACAGAGGCTCTATCTAATGCGAGGACACGAGATGTGGTCGGGGAGTTTCTGAAGTTTTAGCTGTTCTGGCTTGACTTTCCTAGACCCTCAATCCTTGAAGGGTAAATACTTTTATATGAAATGATGAAGTAGGTAGTTTAGTCGTTAAGAACCCTGAAAGAATTTCAGTCGAAGATGAGTATATTTATTTCCAGTGAAATTCTGGCGCAAGTTTCTTTTACGGAGTACTTCTACACAAATTTTGGCTCCGTAAAAATCATTTTGCGCCCACACAAATATGTCTCTCCGTAATTGATTTGTAGATTGCGTCATTAGTAGTAAAAACTTCATTTTTGCCAGAAAGCTGCGCAGCCTTCCACGCTGCCCGTATCTTCAGTTTGTCCTCGTAATCATCATTGTTTCATCTTCATTACCCTATTCCCATCTATTCGCTTTCCGTGCACCAACATGGCGAGCGTAGGTGCTGGTGTGGGTAAATCCAGCAGTTTCGACGCGTCGCAAAATGCGACAATGGCCTCAACCAACAACGGCAGCGGAGCGCAGATAGCTCCAAAGGATAGAAATCTCGAAATCCTCGGGAAACTACTTAAACAGGTTAGACTAATCGTGATGAGAGAGATGGATGAGGAGCACCTACCCTCAATGGAGGGCGTGAACGAGGCCGTCAAGGCCCTCAACGCGCACAAAAGGGCCTGGACGGAAATGTCCCAGAAGAAGTCTCCTATCGAGGAGAGGATGATGGCTTTAGAGGAAGCCGTAAAGAAAAGCCTCGCGGATCCCGCTCGGAAAGCTGCACCTGCAGCGGTTTCGGGCGCGCCGACTGCAAGGAGTTACGCGCCGATCGGAGCTCCGCAAATGGCGAAAACGGCGGTCAGAATAAGAATCTACGGCGCACAAAACTTGCTGCCACAAGAGCTGCTAACAGAGGCACAACAACATATTCAAGGCGCATACGCGATTCGCCAGGCGCGATGCAACGACACTGAGGTGTTCGTCCAGTCGGCGTCCCAGAGAGACGCGGCGCTCAACATGCGCTAACCTAACGAATTTAAGATCCTACGGCAAGATTTCCCATCGAGGTTTCTGGTGTCCCTTTGCGGACTCGAATTGAGGGTGGCAGAGATCCCTAAAACCACGCTATCATGAGGGAGATAGAGACGGCTATGAAGGCACGGATTCCAGGCTTAGTCATTAGTCGTATAAGGTGGTTACACGACGGAAAGGAACACCAGCCGTCAAAGAAAAATGGCCGCACCCGTGGAGCAATAGTGGTAAGCCTCCCATCGGAGGCAATGCAGACGGAAGTGGTCCGAAATGGCCTTGTTATGAACGCCATGCTCTACACCGCGCAGGTGTGGTCACCGCGGTCCCAGCCAAAACAGTGTTACAACTACAGTCAGTGGGGACACACGCAGGCGTCGTGTGGAAAGGCATCGAGGTGCGGTGAGTGCGCTGGCGCTCACCAAACTCGAGACTGTCCGAGGAAAAGGGTTTCTTGTGCGAATTGCGGCAGGGAGCACCATTCATGGCAGAAAGCAGCGTGTCGGACCTAGAAGGTCTACAAGGGAAGTGTGGAGAAGGCTTGGATGGAGCTGTTATCAAGAACGGCGGAAAGATGGAACGAAAAACCTACGGTGGTGCCAACACAAACAGTCAGACCACCTTGTGATCAGGGATTTACTTTGGTCACCAGTAAAAAGGCTGAAGGACTCAAAAGAGGGCCGGGACGACCACGAAAGGTAGTCGAAGCCCCAGTGGCACCATCCATCCCGACGACAGCAGCACCATCGGGGCCAACTCTTCGAACACTTCGACGACCAACGCCGAGTGAGGAGGCGCCTTCTCTTTTCAATTTTTCATAACGTTAGTCTGATTGAAGGGGGAATTAATGAATTCTGGGGAAAGCTTATAAAATTAAAGTTTTAAAGGAACGTCCTAAGCATTAAGCTGGGTCCGTTCAGAGTGACAGGACATCGGGATTTGTTTTATGAAAGCTTTTTCCCACACCATAGCGGCTTACCGTCTTCATGGATCTGTATATAGAAGCCAAATAGGACGTTAAACTAGAACAATGAATAAAATGATACATCTATGATAAAATTACAGGAGGCTAACTATTCAGTCTTGTGCCCTAAAATTGTGCGAAGACCTCATCACAATGTTAGTTCCATAGCTTTAGCTTAGGACAAAATAAACAAAAACAAAACAATGTTAGTTCCACAAGAAATATTAAAACTACTAAGTCGTCGAAGAGTAACCTGTGTAATGACAATCAGCATGAAGAATTAGGATGGAGCAAAAATTTAGGCAGTATAACTTTCATCGATTGCAGGAAATATCAATTGCCGCTTACACTTGCCACTTTATGAGCCCGACCTCAAGATTCTGGGAGATGTAGAAGTCTGAAGAAACTTATTATCTAGAAAATATTATCGTTGTATTTAAATGAGATATGTTGAACAGAATTTCGAAAATTATTGCTTATTGCTTATTTCATCTTGAATTTGTATTTGATTTTGATTTCATTATCCTGATTTGGCGCCCTATGGGTCCATGCAGGTGTCTACAGTCTATAATGTTTACCCGGGAGGAAATCTTTATGGTGAAAACCTCCCACATCTTTCTATTTGTTGTCTGTAGTTCTCACATATTTTCTTCAGGAAGCGCAGGAACACTTTAGTGCCATCCGTGTAAACCAACCAGATCATCTCTATCGGCCCCAAGCATTATTTGACCTTCTCCTTTCCCTCAGCAGTATTTCGACCGCTTTTATCATCTGGAATTGCTCTATCAAACCATGGTTTAGGATCCACTGTGTTATCCTTTTTATATCTCCAGGAATTTTTATCATTGCTTTGTAGAACTGATCTTTGGCTTGTCTCCAGATTTCAGCTCTACCATTTGACCATCGGGGGCAGGACATAATCATATGCATGGGGTTCTGTGATTGGTAGCCGCATGGACAACCTGGACTTAATACTCCGGGTACTTTTCTTCTGTGTAAATACGAGTTAAGCCCCATGTGCTCATTTCGTATTTGCATTGTCAAACTGCTTTGGGTCCTTGTCGGATTACGGTGTAGGAAGAATGGTGAGCCTTGAAAACTCGGTTTTTGCTGTCCAGACTCTCTACTTTGGTAAAATGTGGCTGCTCTCCAAGTTTCGGAATCTGCAGTTGCTAACTGTCGAGGCTTCTGAGTTTATTTCTGCTTGGCCCAGGATTTTGCCTACTCTTGATATGCCATAACTTTCACTATCTCTGTGTGTGTCTTCTTGGTTTGTTGTTCACCGCACATTCCCGTCCAGTTGGCAAGATCTATCCTCCTGTTAACTGTTTGTATATCTTCTTTCCCTTTTCTAGGCAGCTTGATTTTATTACAGGCGGACTATATTGTCTTCTGGACAGGTAAGTCCTTTATACGACCTAAATATTGAAGCCTTTGTTGCTTCAAGAATATTTCGATCGGAAGGGAGGCTGTTTCGTGTTCCAGCACTCTCGAGCTCGTGGACTTGTATGCCCCAGTGACAATTTTCAGAAAATTCCTCTGTATGCTTCTGAGAGGCCTTACTATCCTCTCTGGTATTTTTCTACCCGGCCCGACCTCAGCCCAAACCGGTGCTTATTTCATCTTTTTATTTGAAATTTGAGAGCTGTATCCAGGCAGAAAAGGAGACTAAAGACCACGCACTCGCTAGCTCAGTCTATTTGAATAACCCAACATTTTAAAGCATACTAAGATTACCTGTCAAAAAATAGGGGTCCAGGAACTATTTCGGCCCTTAACATCGAAACGCCTTAAAAAAGACGGTGTTCTCCGCCCTATCCAGGCGTAGTAACCTCACAGTTATAATGCCTCCATCTAATCTACCTGCGCAATTCTTGTGATAAAGCAACAATCATTCCTAATACCGCAAGCTTCATTATCTTCAACAAAATTTTGTAACTGATTATCCAAAATATCTCTCTTGGTGTGTGCTCCAAAACATCAACTTTATTCTAACGATTCAAAGCTTCATTTGCCTGGCCAATAATATTCTGTTAAATAGGGATCGAAAATAGGGTCGCGAGTGGTGTTACATTTGTAACCTTGTTTGTTGGAGAGGAAGTAATCATTGATTAGATTATTATAAAAGGCAAATTTTTACTCAAAAAGCCTTATGTCACTCTAGCTGATAGTAAGATCTTATAATTCTTGTTTCGTTTCCTGATTCTTCGAGTATTTGTTGTGTGGGACTTTGACTAAACTGTGTGAATAAGTCTATTTTTGGTCGATTACTTACGGAAAAACTTTCTAAATAAACTCATAGATAAGGACTTGATCCTGGTCATGAGACAATATTCTATTTTCAGGGTCGTAGAAGTCATGGTGGATAGCTGCTCAGTTGGTGTACTTCAAATAAGAGACTGGAATGAACGAAGTTTGCATCTGATACCATAATTTCACGTGCTGTAACAAATGGGTCTCTTCTCAAATTATAACACTGGGTGTCCGATCATTTACAACACTACCAGGCCAGCGCTCACTAGAGCCCACAATTGAACTCGAATGTTTACCACAATATTCAGATCAATACAGAAATTCCCTAGAGTATCATCACGACAACTATTCGAAATCAAGAGGGTACATCTTCGAATAATATCTGTGTCGCCGAATAGCAAAATAAAATTTTCAACTAAAACTCAATGTAGAATCGAAGAAAGAAAAGCGCAGCCGGATGATGAGAAGCAAATAGAAAAGAGTAAAGAAGATAGTGAAGATGAGCAGGTTAAAAGTAGTAATCAAGATGAGCCAAATGCGAGACCGAGCCATCAACCCCTCACTCGACGAGCAAAGAGTGGATTTGGGTCAAAGTTAAAAAGGTCCCGACATAGTGATAGCCACGGACTACCTCCAATTGTATTGCCAGAATGGTTTTTGCAGAGAAATATTCACATTACATGTAACAATAAAACCCAAAAACCCATCGAAAAAACGCGAATTGACAAAGATTTTTCACATCAAAAAAATACTGACGTACAAGAGACCCTTCAACTTACTACGACCGAGGATAATTACCACTTATCTAGCGAGCCATACGCGCTCAATGAGAGCGTATACACAGAAGTGCTGACAACCCTTAAAGCAGGACTTGACCTAAAACCACCCAAAAACAATTCTACGAGGGCTGCCCTCCGACCAATCAGTGTTCTACAATGCCCAAAAGATGGTGCATCGTTATACTTGGATCAGATAGTCCTCAAAGTATCTTTAGATCTAGGTGCTGATCTAATTCAACTCGATGCTCAAGATTTTGCACAAATAGTAGGCCCATACTTAAACGAAAATCTCGCATGGAATTATGCTTCAACTTCACTTTACGGCTATAATGCTCAAAAGGTTGCCGGTAACTTGGAGAACTATGATGACTTGAAGAATAGCGATCAAGAATCACAGCATGTTTTTCATGGGCTGGAAGAAAATATGACATCTATGACAGGGAATATCGGCAGTTCCCCGTTAGCCGGTGACGAATTTTCAAAGTTACTTCATGTTTTTGTTCAGAAGCCACGCGATAATTTAAAATCGGTTTCATGGCTAAATAACGAAAATATCAATAATTCTAGAACACTTGATATAGGTTCAGAGGATCGAAGCAAAGACGCATCCCAGGTCACGTGGAATGATCTAAAAGCAAATGCCATCCTAAAAGCCTTGGTTGAGGCTGCAGATCACAAAAGAACCTCTTTCCAAGCTCAAAGCAGCATAAAAACGGTGGCAGGCGATAGTCAGATTGAAGAGACAAAAGCCGAGTTCAGTTCTCATTCAGCTTCAGAGGGATCTGAAAACTACCAACATGAAATTGAATACCAACCCTTGATTATACAGATTAAAGATTATCAGGAACTTCGATCTATTGATGGTGGCTCGGAACTACTGCAAAAGCTATACAAGGTTGTCAACCAAAAATGGCAACGTGGTCGTAAAATAATCTGTGTCGGAACCACTGAGGGGCTAGAAGCAGTCCACGACAAGCGTAGTATACAAATACTCCAGGAAGATACTATGGGATCAGATAGACGTACGATAATAATACCCCCAGGTGTCAAGAAAGAACAAAGTTTGCAATTTAAATCAGATAATAAATCTCGAATTAGGCGCATTAATATACGGCATCTCGAGGATATGATCTTGAAGCTCTGTGAAGGAAGCGAAGGATTGCCAATTATTGACCTGGAAAAAAAACTAAGCTCAATCACGGTCGCAAGCTCTGGACTAGAAGATAACGTATGGACTTATGGCCGCGTTCATAGAATATCAAGCACTATAGTCGGAGTTCTTAGCCTTTCGTCGACAACATCTCTTAACATTGACGGAATTGTTTTAAGTGAAGGGTTAAATATTCTTGCACGAAGCGACGAGGCCAAGTTTGCGTGGGGCCTGACAGAATCAAAGGACTGTGAGGCCTTAGCCGCTCGAGATATTAAGGAAAATAAGCCCCTTAAGCTTGCTTGTAACACATATGAGAAGAAATTACTGAGTGGCGTGATAGCACCCGAAAAGATACGAACTTCGTTTTCAAATATTCGAGTATCAAGGGAAACTATCGAAGCCCTTCAATCTATGACTGGTCTCTCTCTATCTCGCCCGGAGGCTTTTAAATATGGAATCCTTCGTAGAGACAAGATCCCCGGTGTTTTACTGTATGGTCCGCCTGGGACTGGTAAGACTCTTCTCGCAAAAGCTGTAGCAAAAGAGTGTGGGGCCACTGTATTAGAAGTAACTGCAGCTGACCTTAATAATATGTATGTTGGAGAAGGAGAGAAGAATGTGAAAGCTGTATTCACATTAGCAAAAAAACTCTCTCCTTGTGTCATATTCATCGATGAAGCCGATAGTATGTTTGGTAGTCGAGAGGGTTCACGTCAAAAGACTAGCCACCGTGAGATGATAAATCAATTTTTACGAGAGTGGAGCGAGATCAATGAGTTCACTGGCTTCATAATGGTCGCCACAAACCGTCCATACGATTTAGACGATGCCATCCTACGAAGACTGCCAAGAAGGATTCTTGTAGATCTTCCAGACGAGCAGGATCGTGCAGAAATCCTCAAAATTCATCTTCAAGATGAAGTCCTTGCTGACTCGGTATGCCTCGCTGCTTTGGCCAAGGAAACCCCTTACTATTCTGGCTCAGACCTCAACAACCTTGCGGTTGCAGCGGCTCTGGCGTGCGTTCGTGAAGAGAGTTTGATAGTGGACAAACCCGCACACTCATCACCGCGGATTCTTGAGAAGCGGCACTTTGACCAGGCGTTGGGAGAAATTAGTGCAAGCATAGATGAAGATATGCATTCACTAGTTGCTATCAAGAAATTCGATGAAAAATATGGCGATCGCAAGGGCCGCCGGAAGAAAGGTCCCGGACTCGGTTTTGGTTCATCACTATTAGTCGAGAGAGATTCTAATGCAGCGCGAGTGCGACCACCACTAAGTCCCAAATAAGCACCTATGTTTTTATCTCAGTCCTTGGTACCACTATGGAGAATAATTTCATTGTAACTGTATATAATTGGGTTAAATTCGAGGCTGGCGTTCTGGTAGGCTTTAACGAAATTTAATATTTTTATATGCCAGAGGGCAGAAGACTAAGGTGTGATAAGTGCGTAAAACATTAAAATATATTTATCATTATAATGACGGATAAATACCTGTGACAAACTCCGTAAGCAAACCTAACTACTTCTTCGACGCTGTATTTCTGGATGAGCTAGTTGTCCATCAATTCCCCCACTTTTTGGAGTTGAGGCACTAATACAAGTATTGAATGATCACATTTCAAGTATTTTCCACCTAAATCTCTCCTATCATGTTACTTATCCTCAATTCTCGTGAACTCATATTTTAAATGAGTGAAGAGCACAGAAACCCTTGCTCTACTCAATAGTGAAACTGGGGCTCTATTTGGTGTAGTCAGAGAATAAATTCCTTCCCACATAGTGGTATTCCTTATAGGCACTAAGCTCTGGACTCTTCTTACCGGTGATATGCCGATTTTTAATAGTCGGTTGGGTTATTGCTGCTAAATATTGACTAAAATTAGAGGTGAATGCGTGTGTGGAAGGCTAATCTTGATCGAAACTCCAGTAGAATTTTGTGTTTAGACAATCGTAAAATTCTTGTAGTGGGTTGTTGATTAGTAATTAAGAACAATGCGGGTAGTCTTATTCTATGGGAAGGGTGTAAAGCTGCAAATTCTATTATTTATTTTAAATTATTAGCTCATGTATTAGTAAATTTTCAATAGCCGGTATTTTCAAGTCCTCGGTATTTTCAAAGAAAACTTCGTAAGTTTTAATTTCTTGCGTGAGCACTTCACCTAGCGTGCTCTCAAACCATAGCTCCGAGCTCATCTCCTGTGAACGTGTTTTTATAATGATGCCAAACTTTGAATCCTCAATAAATTGCCAGCAATCCTGGATTTCTCTCTCAAAAAAATTGACGAATTCCATTGTGTATCGCCCCTGCTTTATGCTATATTCCTGGATTTTACTTTGCTGGTGTATCTTCCCGTCAGTAAAACATTGAAGTAAAGAGTAAATAAATCTGTTAAAAGAATCTATGACTGTTGTTGTAGTTTCAACCAGTTGTGGTCGTCTCTCCATATACTGGCATAAGCTGGGAGCAATTTGCATCCAGAACTGAAAGACTACTGATAGTATGCCTCGATGATTTTTATGAGGGCCCCTAAGATCTTGTGGAGGCCTTTGCGCGAGACTACTAGTATAATTCAAAATAATTTTGAGGTTATTAATAAGCTGCTCAAACATCCAGAGCGATTCAGAACCATTGGTCTCCAAAATTCGGCTGATTCGATAGCTTATAGCGGGTAGAAAGGTGGCGCATAATATCCATGCACTTAAATTAAACCCAACTTTCAGGATAGCTGGTACAAATTCTACAAGCATGAATTTCGTAAAATTTTTACACCGCATTCCGTGATGCACATGACGTTTGTATTCTTTCAAATGATCAGTTACAAGTGCGTTCATCCACCCATTATAGATATAGTAGAGAAACTCAAAAGAAGTTCTTTTTGTTAGTTGACTGAGTCTAACACTGTACGAAATGATACCTGCCACATAAAGATTAGGATCATCATCATTTGGCCAATAGTGTACAGATGGGTGAATAAAAAATTCAGGGATTTTTCTGAATCCACTTGCGTAGCTTCTAATATTTGTGACTATACTTCGCGCGAAGGCTAGATATTTGATATGCGCGTCGGAATTCACCTTAACGGTTTCAAGAGTGTTTTGAATAAATCTCAAGCCTTCGCCAAGTATATGCGAAAAGTATTGCTGCGCTTGTTTCTGTGTAAGACCAGCCTTTACCTCAGTTAAATTCTCGACAAGAAGGTTATTCATCTCACAGACGATAGCTAGCATTTATTAGCCATAGGTGGTCATCTGTCTAGCATTCTTTACCTTTTATTACTTGCGTACGATGAAGTTTGTGAAGTTCAAATGTGTTACATAAATAGTAACCTTTTTGCTGCAGTTGAAATGTGAGCATCGTTTCTGGCGTGGAAATTGGTTCTAATTTAACTAGTGCTAAAAACCATTCGAGACCTAGATCAAAACCATAAAACTTATCGCGTTAATATAATTTATGATGTGTGCGATTCAGAAGACTAACTTTAAGGTCGTGTAACGATTTCCCGTAACTTAGAAGCTTTGCGATAAAAAGTGACCAACAATCTAAATTACTGGTAAATCTTCGACGACTTTCGAACACAGTATTCATATCAATTGAAAAGAGTTTTTGAAATCTCTAAATAGACGTTAGGTTAGAATTTTAGCACTAAGAAACAGGATCTTGCCTCAACTTCGTTTTCAGTAACGATAGAGATCAGTCGCCCGTAACAATCAATTAGACGGGTAGCCAAAATGCGGTCACTTTCTTTATTGGCCTTTGTTTCAACAACAGTTTTCAAGACCGGCCGTAGAGGACCGAGCAAAGATTCTAGTGGCTGACACAAATTAGCTGCCTTGTATCAACTGCGGTAGCAGCGTGTGTGAAAATCTACATACAGAAATCATTTCCAGGCGATTCCAGTTCACTATATCGAGGCTATCCTGACTTTCTTGGTTTGTAGAAATTTCATTTAAAGACTCAGTAAGTGATACCGGATAAATTCTGTCAACCTGATCCATATAACTAGTTAATACTTGTATCACTTCCTTCAGAAGAGTGTCTTGAAGTCTATCTTTAGTGTATATATTGGAATCTAAAGCCTTTAATAGTATGTCTAATTAAGTCAAATGCTTGTATCTCCAACTAGAATAATAGCTAACTTACCAGTATTAAGAGAAATTTTTATAATCGATTCACACTTAGCAACTTTGATGATATTTCCCATGGCTTCAATAGATTTACACATTGTTACAAGGATATTTCTTTTATTTTTCATAATGATATCTGCCATGTGAGCTTCGACCACTGAGTCTATTTTATTTTCGGTCATTTCTTTTAGCTGATGCCTTGCTTCTGACTCTGCCTCATTGTATTGATTATACATGCTCATGAAAAATGTAGATTGCCAATCTCTAAAAGGCTGATACTCTATCGGATCAGTTGTAGTTGTAACAATGAATTTTGTTAAATTTTCCCATGATCTGAGGTTTATAAGACAAGCTTCTTTGTGTGAAAGATCAGGAATGACGAGCTCTTGTACGAAAGAAATCGAAGGTCTTTCATCCGATGGCATTGACCAAAATAATGTACAAAGTAGATCATGGTGATTCCTTAACGATGCCAAATCTCGCTGATAAATATCTTCCTCTTTAGGATATTGTCGGTCATGATTTGGAAGTAGTCTAGCCCCCAGGTTTCGGATGCTTTTCAGATCATTAACTTGACGTAAATTTTGAAATTCTAAAGCAACAATTTTGAGAAATATATGGAAACAGCAGTCCTCTGGCTCTATAGCTAACGATGGCATTGTATCGAGTTTTTCAAGAAATTGCGGCGAGTGATAAACTTCTTCGTTGCGGAGGTGTGATAGATTTTGTGAGGCAAAGAAGTCGAATATTGACCCAATGATAGATGAGGATTTTCGCCATCCCCAGTCAACCATTAAATAGTAACATCTCGTAAGAAGAGTTCTACAATACTTATTAAAGCCAGGAAATTGACGTTGGTTCAATTTATACAAAGTAAACACTCTTTTGAGTATCTGTTTTGGGAGAGCCCAGTTCTCATGCGGTATTGTATATCGTTTGCCGGTTACAACTTTTCCGATTTCATCAACTTCAGTAAGTGGTAGTAGAGTGTACATGGAGTACCATAATTTCTCGATGGTTTCAGCATCAAAAACATTGTTGATCTCACTTAATTGAAGCCTTGAATTTGTTACCTCCCAAAACGAAGATCTAGGTATACAGGCCACTTTGAGAACGGTCATAATTATTACCCATCCTTGGATAGGGTAGTCTTTGTTGCCAATCCCTGATACCCGAAATGAATAGTACTGAGTATCGTCATATATTTTTTGGATATTTTCTAGTCCTTGAAGTAGTAAAGTATAAGTACAAAAAGACGCTATTTTTTTTAGGGATTCTTCGAGCTCCATTATCAAGGTTCGAGCTTCAACATTAACGCGAGCTTTTTGCAACAAATCAAGTACGAGCACAGATGAAATAGAGAGCACCTCAAGAAACTGATTGAGCTGCATCATTGTTGGTTGTAAGTTGAGATTTATACGAGACGAGAATTCCTGGAGAATTTGTGACATTCTTAAAAGAAAACTTTCTTGGCCAAGTAGCCCATCAAACGAAACATATTGCTGCGTATAATCTAGGACAAAAATAGCTATTTCCCTAACCTCTGTTGAAGGAAATCTTGAATTTTCACACTCCGTAAGCCAGTCTGAAAGTATATCAAAACAAATTCCTACTTCTGAAGCAGAAGTTTCATTCCACGTATTCCAGGAAAAATTTCTCTCCGTCAGTCTAAGCGTAATTGTCCCTCCCGAAAAATTTTCTTTCAACGAAGGCTGAATAGTCATTCTTAGTCGGCCGGAACCGATAAATGTATTATTTTGAAAGTGAGTTCCTTGCCGTAATGGGGATATATTAAAATGGAGTGGATATTCCGTGCTTAGTTTTGCTAAGCCTGATAGTTTGTTATCAGATACACCAGCAATTTTTTCTCGCTCGAAGAATCTCGGAATTAAAGTACTCGTAAGTTGTCGATATTTTGCAGCGCTAGTATCGAGTCTTTTAGGTTGTCTTTTCTGCCGCCGAGGAATACATGTGGGTGGCAGTTGTTGCTTTGAGCTGATGTCTCCGAGACATTTAAGGTCAAAATCTGTTTCTGCTGCCGGAAATGAAGGCTTTCTATTTAGAAAATAGTTGACTTGAGATTTGATACTATTCTTGGGCCACCTCTGGAGATTTTGCCAAGTTTCATCAAGTTTTGCTTTTTGAAGTTTAAATGCTACGGTATCGTTATGAATAGAATTTCCGAAACAAGATGATTCAAGTTGGGCGGGACGTGAAATACGAGTGGCTATAGGTTTATTTTTAAGAATTGATCTATAGCGGTGAGAAAATTTTAGGGGTTGAGAAAAGCTAGAGAGAAGTGGGACATTTCGAACGGACACGAACTTATACATAGACTGCTGGATATTTCTGCTGTTGAAGACAAATTCCCGCGGATTTTTACACAAGATCCCATTCATCTCTGGTTCAACGGAATTTTTAGGATGTTGGATAGTGTTCTTGCATCCTGACGGATCCTCCAGTTTACTTGAAAATTTGGCTGGTCTTTTTTGCGATGGCTTCCGGATTATTTTTCCCTCTTTCCAATCATTAATTATAGAGTTAACATCATGAGTATCTTCCTCAGTTGAAAGTCGGATATATTTTTGGCAGGGATAATGTCTACCTCGGTCCTTCCTCAAATTTACCGTGCGGGCCGCAATTTTAATAAAATTAGGAGTACTCTGGGTTTCTCCTACACTGTAATCAGGAACATCTAGAATACTGAGTTTTTGTGTTTTTGTACGCTTTGGTAGCGCACATTTTCTCATATCAAGCTGACGATTTACGACTTTACCCGTTTTATGCCTTTTGCTAGGTTTGACTGATTTTCCTTCATCGTTTTCACGAGGCCTCTTGAAACCTTTGGTCGCCTTCGCATGGTATCTCGAGCTTTGGGGGCCTATCGCCTTGTACTGGTGCAGTAAATTTCTGGATGACTGACGTACGTGTGACGGCAATAAATCATCGATCGACTCGTCCGAACAGCTTAAATAATTTAAGAATTTAGTAGGTTTTAGTACCGGTGATATTGTTTGCTGAATAAAGTTGTTTATCTTGCCCTGTTTTTGTTCATCCTCCGATACATCCGTGCTATCTGTGAAGACTAGTGGCTCTTGAGTAAGTGAAGCCGAAAAACTGTTCTCATTATTTAGAGGTTTAGGAACTGCAACGCCTTTTCGAGATTGACCATATAAATTGGATTTACTGAGAAAGTTTCGAGAATCTCGAGCTGGAGCTCGGGATTTTTTGAAAGTATCCAGCCGTAGATGAGATGCGGGAAGTACCCCACGGAACCTCTTTCCGACTTTACGAATTTGTACAGACTCATCTGAAGATGCATCACATGGCACTGATTCTGAGACATTAGCAAATGGTCCATCCAAGTTAAGATCTGAGTCAGAATCAAGCATGATAGGATCCATAGATGATCTGGGGTTACTGGCCAGTGTTTGAACATTGGTCTCAATTTCTAAATCTAGCATGCTCCCATCAGAAGGTTTCCTGAAAGTTTCTAAGGGGGACCTTGTAAATTTTGATTCCGAAAACGGGTAGGTTTCTGGCGTTTGAGCCGGTTCCGGTTTCTTTTCTCCAGAAATTGTTTTAATATTATTAACAATATCAGTGGAAGCGCTAAAAAGAGATTTATCTGGTGGGGTGTTACTGATGGGTGAAATTTGACGTTCACTTTTGCTGGAATTGGTCGAGTGATTTGACAATTTTTTTATCCTCCTGAAATATCTCCCTCCAGACAGGGTTTTACGTAGATCTGGAGAATTTTCACAATTCGTGGTTGTAATATTTGATTTTGGAGATTCACTAAGGTTACTCAAAGTTTTGGGGTTTACCATAGATCTAATTGAGCAAGATGGTGATATTGGGATCCAATCTTGACCATCGGAAATATTAGATGATAGAGGCAAAGTCCCAAGTTCCTGTGATTCTTCTTCATATTCATTACTGAGTAATGTATCTTGATAAGATTTTTGGTTTCGATTATTCTGGGACGGAAACATCATTATAGGTGCAACACCCCGAGCCCTTAGAGTTTGTTTATACTTTTCCTGTTCCATAATGTACGGATGCAATTGAATCGGATTTCGATGTCGAAGAGCACGTCTCATAGGATATTCAAAATTGTTGACCGATTCAGACTCAAAAATATTCGACTCAGGCATAGCTTTAACATTTTCTTCTACCAAGGCTTCCTTTACTCCTGCATTTAGATCGGAGCTTCTTGTTGTTTGATATTCGAAAAAATCTGGCATAGAGCTCGGTGGAGATGACAAAATACTCGAAGCTGGGGAGGTAATTTGGACGTAGCTTCTGGAGAAACCATCAGTTAAAGATATATCTTGACTGTAGGTGTTAATTTTACTCTCAATTTCTTGGTCATCTTCCCAAAATGGTTCTGGATTTTTGAAAAATGTAGGTTGTGAGAGTGATGAAACTTGACTATTTGAGTAATCCTCTTCTCGAGCTTTATCTGTTGTAGTTGAGCATAAGTTGACTTTGGAGCCCGACCAGCCGCCCGAGATTGACAGATTTTGTTGATCAGTTGCAGCTACATGGTTGGCCTCCGTTATTAGCTGGTTCAGCTCATTTAATTTTTGGCTTCCCATAATACTAGATGTGCAAGAATTGAATCCGTCCTTTTTGTCCAACTCGAGGATACGGAGTGTTGGTGAAGCATGAACTTCGTAATTAGTTGTATCATGATTTAGAGAGAATGTTTTACAATCTAGATTTCGTAATTGTTCTTGATCATTCACATATTTCGGCGCACTTCTTTCAACATCGTCGTTATGGGCTCCAGCAAACCCGCCGGGTTTATTTTGTAGCTGATTTATTAAACGTTTGCAGTAGACTTTCTCTTGTGTATCTTGAGTAAATTCACATTCATCATCTGTGTCAGGAACGAAACCTTTCTCTTTCCAGTTTGCCATTGAGTTCGGATTTCGATACTTGTTATCCTACTAAGCCATTCACACCCTGTATTTACCAGCGCGTTTTATCAAAGTTGACTAATCATGATCTCTTGTCACGCGCAACATGTACCTCCTACGTCCCATTCTACAGGATCTCAAAAAAATTAAAAATGAGTAGACGTGGAGTATTTCCTCTTTTTATAGCCATAGGATTCGGAGTCATAAATGGTGTGTCATTGTCACTACTGAAATCTATGTATAACACCTAACGGGCACCAGGAATATGGGCTTTTGGACCAGCACTCAAGGAGGGGCAATCGCAGGCACATGATATCAGGTAAAGTTATATCATATGTCAATCTTTTGTACTTCATGCTCACATTTCCTCAGCAAATCACTTTTCCCAATCGCTCCATCTAAAGACGTCAACAGCAAGACAACATCACACTCGGATTTACAACACGAACCTAAACACCAAGATGATGAACCTTCCAAAATATGGCACAAGACGCTCCAGTCGACTAATGATCAGCATGACAAAAAACTGATATCTCTGAAAGAGAATTATGTGGTGAAATCAAATAACAAATGAAAATAAACCTTTATCAACAAAAAAATTGCACGACCTGAAACCTTTTCACTCTTCAGAGCTTCATCCAATGAGAAGCTATGTATTAGTCGCAAAAAATCAATTTGTCTTTAGGTATGCGTAAAGCAGCCATTCATCTAACTCGATTAAATTTTTTATGAAAGATGTTCCCAGAGAGCTCTGCCGTTTGGAAAAAATATCATGGAAATATTCCGGAGTATTTTACCTTCTAAATTTTTTCAGGCTGCCAAAATTTTTTATTCTAATACGATTTCATACCTCATTTAATTATACATATCAGGGTCTATTACACCACTCTTTTTGAAATTAGAGGTCAAACATTTTTTATGAAGAAATTTTATTATATTATAAAATTTCAAGGAATGAGTCAACGAGTCCGAAAAACGAGGTATTCCTCTTTTTAAATTTCTAATTATAGTTAGGACTTTATTCTAACTAAATCCCTTCCACATACAAATATACTTGTGTAATCAGCGCCGAATATGATAATGATACTCTTTAACTTGAATTTTAGTCACCAGCATTTCGCAACGTGCAACCCGATTATATAAATATTTGGGAATGTCATAAATGAGGCTGCGCCATATTTCCAATAATTTTCTGGGAGAAGATGTAGGATAATATTCATCAATAATAAATAGGAATTAATTAGTTCTGTGGGTAAAGTAGACTGAAGGTATCACAACTCTCATCAAATTCAATAGAAAATACTGCCGTAGGGAACGTTATTGAGCACTTAGTCTAGAAAACAAAATCTTCATCGATTTTCCATAATCCAACTTTCTCGGAGGGGAGCTATTTTCAACACCTGTCAGTGGTGTCCCCTACGAATCTCCAGCTCTCACTGTAGAGTCTGCAGAGCCGAGATTGAGTAACAAAGTCCTCACTTAGACGAGGATTCCCAATCGCTTTCGCGGTCTATATCGTCTTCATCTCTCAACACATTCCCCTATCACCATTATCATGAAGCTAACCACGATCAGATCAGATGGTAGGGTCGGAGCCCTACTTATCACCAACCCTTGATCATGGAGGAAAAGCCATCCGATGAGTTTCCGGAGCGCACCCAGCACCCGATACGGCGGTGGTGGATTGGATCAAGTTGGCCTCGATTGTTACAAAGAAGGGAGATATAGATGAATGTGCGCACCTCATGTGGTCCCGGTGTCTAGGCCTCGCCTGGCTGGGGCTGCTAGTTTTGAGACTTTTTCCCGCGCACGCAGTTTCCATTGCTACCATTTTTTTTTGGGTAGAAGGTTCTATGCAAAAGGTGGCGAAATTCCAGGGGTAAAGTCTAAGCTGAAAGGCTATTCATCAGGGGCAATATATCAATGATGTTTAAAGTAACAAAAAAAGGCAGGAGCACTGTACAAGGTGTGCCTTAGGTCAGAGAAGTCAGATGTGCTGGATAGTCATAGACCCGACTAGCACAACAAACTTATGCTCTCACTTCTATCTGGGGAGCTTTCATTAACTCCGAGCTGCTTGAGATCCATATGTCGATGGGGACAGGTCTCAACACACAACACATTGGTACCATCAACTCCTTTCAAATCGCCCTTTAGCTTTAATTTCATACTTATATCTACGACTGCGAACAATGCCTGACCCCTTCCCTTACCCTATTCCCCCGTCAGAATTAGGGGCACCAGCGAGACTGACAGAAACGCTGAACCGAGTGACTACTGCTGCCAACACAAGAACGCAGGAGGCAACTCTTATGTTTGGCAGAGTGGCTGCAGCATTGGATAACGTCACTTCTGATACGGTTGCTTCTACAATCCCCCTCCATTTACAGAAAACATATAACAAGTTCTTGACCCCTATGCGAGCTATTACACAAGAATTTTTCGAAAACCATGTACGAGGTGTACCAATTCCCGCGCCAACAACCCATCGTCTGATAGCCCAGTCAAAGCCAATTGCCCATGCGAAGCCCTCATACGCGAACATTGCAGGAAAACCCAAGGGTAATGCTGGAGTTAGCACCCCTCAGAAACCGAGACCTTCCAATCTCCAAAAACATGTCAAACCGCTGCATTTGGATGATCGATTGTTTCTACGTCTTGATGAAGATGTGACAGAACGCCTCATATCAGCGCACTCACTCCTCCTTCAACTCCGAAATTTCCTTGGAGAGAATTCTGCCATGCTGAGGAAGCGCAACATGTCCCATCTGGCCTGGCCCTCCGTCCATCTTCAGAAGCGGCTTTAACTAGGTTAGAAGACCTTTTTGTCCAGGGAATTGGAGAAGGAAGGTTTCCAGGTGTACAGGGCATTGAAAAAGCCCAAAATCTGGACAGTTACATAATCACATCTGTACCTCGTACATTAACAACTTTAGACAATAATAATCGTCTCGTTAAAGAGCCAATTACCCCAGACCTCGTTCTAAAGGAACTTCATGAAGAAAAGGGGTTTAATCCTACTGTTTTAGCCGAGACTAAAGGAAGTATTGCATCTCCCTACGATCTATCCGCCAGATTTATCGCTCGCTTCCCCACGAGCTCTTGTCTCCCAAGAAGGTCCCACCTTTTCGGGATGGGCATCAACTGCCGTAAACTATCCAAGAAAGTCAATATGGCTCAATGCGGTAGAGGTTTTCAACGGCATAATCAGATTATTTGTGCCCGTGCCCCACGATGCCGTCTCTGTGGCTCTGTCAAACATAAGGAGGAAACACACAAGCTATGTGGGCCACACCAACATCTCTGCCCATCTAGATGTATCCATTGTCATGGTCCACATCCAGCCGATGCGCCAGAGTGCCCACTCAGACCACAACTAAATGGTATAAAGCTGACAAAGGGGCAAGTAGCTCAGGTCCGTAGCACGTCTACCGCAGCAAGAATAGGCCCATAAATCACTGTAGGCTGTATCCGTGGAAAAATTACGAACACTTCAGTGTATGAAGAAATGACTGACACGCCTCCCGGTCCATTAATGCTGGAAGGTCCCCTGAGCTCGACCCAGCTTGTTCGGATCACCTCACCTTCACCCCTACGTCCCACAGTTTTTCTTGGGAATCACTACGCTATTCTAGTCGTTGAAGATGAAGTCTAGGCGGCACAGGTCTATAGGGCCACTGCGTCTCCTGAAGATCAACGTCTTTAGGGGAACCTCTTCGCACGAGCTTGCACTTACCTTTGCAAATGAAGAAAGATTTGTTGGAAATGGAGACACATAGTGTGGTGGACGTATGGGCCCTCCATTTCGTCTAGGTTCCCGACGCGATCTTGTGCGTATTTAAGAGGTTGGAATGGGTAATATGGTAGCGCTTCAGGCAACCTAATGTATATATGAGCGGCTATATGGCGTGAGTACAAGGAGGTCATTGGGGGTTTACTATGCCTATATGGCGCCACACTCGTTTTTGCTGTGGCCTAGGCTATGTGTCGCTTACATTTTTACTTAAAGCGCACACTTTCCACACTTTTAGCTGTAATCCGAACATGACACATTTTTAGTCAACTTCTACTTTCATTCTATGAATATTGCGCCCATCTCATTTCACGATATTTCCAACAGATTATGATAGCAAGTCAGCTCACCTTATATCGAAGTTGAAGCTTCACTTTTTTATCGAATATTATCGGGAAGTTTATAGTGAATTATTTTTGCAGTTTTTATTTCTATTCTTACAGGTGATTACTCTTCAAGACACTCAACATCAAATATATCGTCGGCACAGATCCTTAGGTCCATGAGGCATGCTCTAATATTAAGTAAATCTACGTATAATCGGTGGGGTTCTCTCTTTAGTGATGTTATATCACTTTATAATTTACAGCGTTATACACTAGAAGAGGTGTCCGACCTAAAAATCGAGGATACCAAAACGACAAGTACTGCTCGCAATAGTCAGAAGGTTGACATGCACATCAGGGTTTTAATATCACAATTAGTACCTGATAATACATTTCATCTGGTTCGTTCGACTTACACTTCGGAGGAATATTGGGATAACTTAAGAGGATGTTACTGCCCTAATCAATTAGGTGACCTGGATGACTTACTAGAAGAATCTTGGGGAATATCTATCGAAGACCATCGAGCGCCACAGTCATCGGGACATTTTACCTAGTCGATACATTCATACCGCTATTTTGAACACGCCCACGTCTCAAATAGACAGCATGCCTCTTGGTAGACGGAAAAAGCCTGCCGCAATCGCATTACCTGCGGAAACTATTACGCGTGCTGCTAAATGCGTAAGACTTAAGAGCCCACTTCCATCTGTATGCGAAGAAGCCATTCTTACAGCTTCCTCCGAGAGTCACCATTCTCCAGCCGAGTCAATTCTTATTGACACCTAAGATGAGTCCATGGACTCAGGGTCAGAAAATGACTACCTCCCCGACCCGATGCATCTGCTCGAGCCTACAACGAAGGCTCCTAAGCTACAAGCCACAAAAGTCTTGAAAAGAAATTCTGGTACAGGCCTATCCAGTTCTATACATGCCTCTTCTAAGAGTCAACCTATTGGAATATTATTGTGTAATTGATGATATTAGAATGATATGAATAATAATTCTGATAATATTCGATTGATTGCTTGCTTATGGTTACTTCTATCTGAACATGAAGATATCGCTATATCATATACAAGTCTCTTGTGCTAGCCTTTATCCCACATGACTGCGCCAGTACTACTTGATCATAAACTGAGACTCATTGACTCAGTTACATCCATAAAAGGCACAATGCAGAGACCTATTCAGTCCTATAAGTGGTTATTCATCGACATCATCTTTGCTTTGTCCCTCATGTGTCACAGTCTAAGCATAGGCACTTGAGCAACCTTATGGTCAGAGGTAGTTTATTTTCAATCTATGGTGAACTATAGATCGAAGAGGATAATAACAGCTACTTTATACAAGATTATTATCCCAGCCAATGACACGGCTTTTTATCCGTTTACCCGTTTACCCGTATATCCGGACATCCGTTCTCGTATCCCACTCTTGCGCCTCATTCTCGGA